TTTCCCATTAGAGCATACTGTAAAGACCCCCCCCCCGTGCCCCCCCCCCCCCCACTACTACATCCATGGCTGCAAATATGTCTTAATGATGTTTATTTATTGAAACATGAGTCGTGCTTGTAACTGCTTCATTTTCATCTTTTGTCTTTAAAACCGTTTAACTGCACAGCTTTAGTTTTAATGCAGTTTCATTTTTTAATTCATCTTCATCTTCTCTTTACCTTTTTAACAGCAGTTCTGCTCCTCGTTGTCTCACCTGCATTTATCACCTCCCCCTTATTAATTTATTGCTCGTTAAGCTGTCGTTTCTAAACTTTCAACACAACCACAGCCACAGCCTGCCTGTTCTAGCTCATTTCCAGCTTTCAGTGCAATTAAAAAAACTTATTTGTAACAAACACCCTTGTGTTTCAGCTCCATGAATGAATTAGACTCCAAATGAAACATGAGGGGAAGAATAAAAGTCTTTGATGGACTCACTTTGACTCAATGGGCTTCAGAGAAATTTAAGGAAAACGAGCACCTGTGAAGGAATGCAGATAACGTGAGGCTTTGCATGATGGAGCTCCAGGCTGGAAAAGAGACCTTTGGTCAAACTTAAGAGACCAAAACCAGCAGCTTTAAGCCTTGGCAGGATCAAATTTCAAATGCAAATAATCTGGAAACTTGCAGTGATTGGTTCACAGCGAATCCCTTTTGAGAGGCGTTTTAGAGGTGAGCGAACCAAGATTTGCTTTCACAAAACCTGTAAGGGTCAGAGAGACCAACCTCCTGGAGGAGAGGGAAACTCTCCATTCAAGAGCACGAGAGCCAAAACTCCCCAGAAATGATTACGTGTCTGAAAAACCAGCAACCAGTGAAAAGGTCAGAAGCATCCAGCAAAAGCTTTTAGATTAAAGGAAAAGAGCCGGGAATTTTATTTTATTAACTTAAGTATCAGCTCTAATTTCCCTCTGGGATTAATAAAGAATCTTTGAATTGAATTTGACATGCAGCTGTAAATGGGTGAAATCTTCAGTGCTATTTTTAATCGGTTGTTCCTTAGTTACATGATAACGTTTTGGAACAAAAGGCAAGATTACTGTTGCCGAAGGCTGCCAAGCACCACAGAAAAAGAACAAAATGCAGCAGAGAGACACTTGAAAAAAAATAAACGATCTGAAGAAATTAAAACTAGTACAGGTTGCAAACTCTATTTCAGAGAAGTAAAAAATATTTTATAAAAATGTGTTTATTTATCTTAAGAGAGAGCCGAGTGTTCGGTCTCAGTTTAAAGGGATACTTTGCCATTTTTTTCATATTTTTAATTCTTGAGCCAGCATGTGCTAAAATGACCCTTTACAGTGAAAGGCCGCCCAGCCCCTATCGCCCTCTGTGGCCGGAAAACCGCATTTGCAAATTCAGACTGGCAGGATGCTGTATTGTGACTTAGAAAAAGTGGAGCTGACATGCCTGACAGTACAGTGTGCTTCCAGCATGTTTTCTGCATGATTTAGATAATGATCACAGCTGATTTGTGATAATCACTCTTGTAGACACTAAGGAAGGCTGGGGGGACGTTTCAGCTGTTACACTGAGGTGTTAAAAAGACGAAGGCACAGTGAGGAGATAAGTTTTGCTTTCAGGTGTACAAACGGAAACTAGGGGTCCTAAAAGCAAGCCAAGACTGCCTAGTTCCCCTTTAAAATATCCTGTTGCTGGTTGCCATTTACACTCTTAATTACCTATAATACCTTATTTTTTTGCACTTATAACTTCTGTAAAAATAATAAACAGTAAAAAAAAGTGACAGAATGATATCTATGTGCTGTTTATGGGTTAAAAGTACATATTTTATTCACAGTAAAAGAGCCTCAAAAGAAGGTTTACTTACGTTTTATTTTAACTGTCATTATTTACAGGAATAAGAAGCACAGGTGAAACAAAGTCAGAAGGTAGGTGTTTAAGGTGATCACAAATATGGCACTAGGCGGTGAAAGAGACAGAGTGCAATCATAAAAAAACTATTCGCGGAAAATAATGAAGATATCCGACACCATCGCTGGTTTATAAAACTTTCTGATTGTGAGTCGGTAAAGAACCTATCAGGATTTTCAATTCAGTCCATCGTGGAGGCAGAAGATTTGGCTGCAAAGGAAGAAAACAAGGATATCCACCGTGGTCCAACGTTGCATTCATATGAAATGACTTTAAAGTGTAAACAGCGGCTTGAAATCTTTGTGACGCTAGCTAAGATCGCTATCTCAATGAATAAAAGCCTGCTGGTGACTGAGCCTGCAGAGCGTGATTAGACTGAGACCTCTATCCACGTTTGACTGAATGATACTAAAAGAATATGCATGCAGTTTGTTTTGGCTCTTGAAAACGTTGTTTGAAATCCAACAAATCATCATTAGCTAACGACATTTTAACATCAGAGGCAGATTTAACCACAGAAAGCATGAGAGACATTTTTAAATAATAAAATAAAACACTGATTAAATGTGCAAAACCTGGGAGAGTTGCACTGCATCAGGAAATATCAACAGTCTGTCATGGGCAGCAATGACCTACATCACTTTAATAATGATTAAAGTGCTTCGGGCTGACCTTTGATCTCTTTAAACCACAACATAACAAAATCAACCCCATCTGTCTCCTTGTCACGGTTTAGCTCCATAAAACTCAACTATTTTTGCTTCTGTAATTGTGATTTTCTACAAATCTACACACAATCTCAGTAGCTTTATAGAACAAAGTGCGTACCAGCCAGCTGACAGGAAATGATCAAACCTATAATACAAAATTCTGACTTCAATATCTTTAGGAGAGCCAAAGTAGGCGCCAGGCATGCAGTGCATTTCCAGAGCTGTAACACGCAGCTGTAAAAACCTGCTGCAGCCAAACCTTTAAAGCTAAAATCTCATTTCTTTTAAATGGCAAACAGTTCAGATGTTTTGAAAGGATTTTCAATAGACACGGCATAAACGACTAACATCTTACCTGTTGTAGGTGGCTATGTGAATGACCTCAGTTTGGAGAAACGGCTAATGCTAATGTTGCTCTCCTAAAAAATACTGCAGTGTAACACTTCATAGTGATTCATAAAACAGTTTATACTTTATAAACCATCATGGTGTTTGATACATGGTTTTTCCAGCAGAAATATACAAATAATCCAGCTGGAAATGTAACAAACTCAACCAGAGGCGCTATCGCTAGCTAGCCTTGTTGCTAACTTTAGCAATGAATAATCTCACTTTGCCAAATTCACAGTTCTGTTTCCAAACGGAGGCTGTTCAACAACAGGAAAAATATAAAATGTTAACTTTCTTTCCATAGAACTAACTACAAAACATCTACACCGTCTGTTTGAATCTCACCATGTCCGCCCTTGTTTACCTTCATTTTCTCAATGAGGCTTTTAATGAAATTGATTTTACTGTGAAATGGTTTTATGTGTTATATCAAAGGTACACCACATTTCATAGGTGGCTTTTCCCTTGAAATAATGCTGAAACCACCTCTTAATTTACTATTTACATGTGAATGAGTCTCTTAATGTTGGAAACTCAGCAGATTAAATGGTCCGGGTGGTGCTAAGAGTCCAAACAGTCTGTGAACACAAAATGTCACATTACAGAAAACTAACTTATACTATAGTGTGATTATTCAAATTTCTTAGCAGTTACCTGATGCATGCTTCTTGTCTTTGAAAACTTCCTGTTTGTTAGGTAAACAAACTGCACATAAATACAAAACAAATGATCAAATTAGAGCAATGAAGTTATGACATAAGTAAAAAAAGAGATTAGTAAGAAATTATGCAAAGCAGGGAAACCAAGGTTATGTCAAAATGTCGTAAAGCAGCAATCTGGAGTTTTCCCCCCTTTAAAGGGGACTATAAGGAAGTTTGACAGTCAAAACATGAATAGAAATAATAAATTTCTTCTTCATTCATTCTCCTGCAATGCCCTGGTCCTGTAGAATGAGCCCTGGCATTTTTACTGTGATTGTCTGTTTTTTCTGTAAAATCACAGAAAAAGAGAGTTTCTCGCGTCGAGCAGGCTGCTTCATGTGCGTTCACGCTCAGGCATAGCCCGTAGCATTTGCTATCCGTAGCTTTAGCAGTAGAGAGTGAGGTAGTGCCAACTCAGCAACTTTGTCGCTGTTCCTAACGCCTAGTGACAAACCTAGCTACATTTCTGAGGACCCTTAGCTACTTTCTGTAGAACTTTCTTCTAGATATTTCCTGCAAATTAGCAACAAAATAGCCATTTTCGCTCCAAACCGTTTGTTGGATTGATGTTGTTTCACCTGCCATCAAGGATATAAATGTTACAGTTACGATGAATGTCACTGGTGCTTTAGCTCGCCTAGTAAGATGTCTGACTCTCATGTAGGAGACCTGGGTTCGATTCTGGGTGTTATTTGGAGTTTCTTTTTTACATCAATGATCATTTTTTTACAGTAATAAGACGCCCAAATTTTTATTTGAGACTTGCCGAAAGGCATTGAATTCACGGATAAAAAAAATGTGGGTTCAACTTTCATTTTGGAACAATTTTTCAAGCAAGGGAAGGGAATGATCTGAGCATGCAGGAGGACTGACCCATCATAAACCTTTGTCGGCTGTGCTGAAGAGAAAGATACAGAACCAAATTATTTAATTTAATTAGCTGCGTATTCTCCTGTCCTCTGTCCTCCGGGCCCCACACACACACAAGCACGCACGCACGCACACACACACACACACACACACACACTGCACGTTCGGCCGGCCGACGAGAAAGTGCAGCTGCAGAGACAGAAGCACATTATTTTTATTAATTTGCTGTGTTCTTCTGTCCTCCGGGCCACACACACGGGACTGTCTCAGCTGTTATTTTCGTTAAAGAGTGTGCACGTACAGCATGCGCGCCTCGTGCACGAGCCTACTATTGAAGCTGCTGTTACGCTTTTGGCCTGAGGGGGCAATCGCGAGCATAAAAATTCAAAAGTCCGAAAAGTCCCTTTAAGGAACTATATATTTTTTTAGAAGTCTGCAAAGGTGATTTTACCCTGTACTGTGATATAATGTAGTCAGCAAACAGTTCAGTATCCTGATGGTCTGCTGGTTCTAGCCCAAAGAGCAAATTCCACCTGCTGAAAGTGAAACCAACACAGAACTAAAATTTGCAGTTCCCCCCTCATCCACTAGGGGCTGAATCCAGAAAGGAGCGAGTGTCCATTGACTCCCATGTTAAAAATGCCAACTTCCCAGCATTTAGATTAAATTAAAGCTTGAAATTATAAATTATTAGGGCAGTGTCCATTTGTAACATATACGTATCAGCACTACTACAAATGCAATCTTTCTGTTTTGTGCATTTTTTTTACATGTTTGTGTAAACTTGATTAAATTTAGAATCTAGGTAAACAAATGTCTTAGTGCTGCCCCCTGTGGCAGAACAGCAGCTACTGCATTTTAAACTTGTGATTGACTGGGGCTGGAACAATTTCACGTCATTGGTACAGTCTCCTCCGACTCCCCCTCCCTCCCAGGATGGAGATTCCCCACACTTGGCCATGCTACTCTGTTATTTTCGTTAAGGAGTGTGCACGTACAGCATGCGCCAGTGGCGTGTCCAGATCTTTTAAAATGGGGTGGCCCAGGTGAGACATAACTTTGTGCATGGGTGGCACCAATGGTTATGCTTTTTTGTTTTACCCCCAAGCCTTTTGTGGACAATGAAAAGCCTATTTAAAGGTAAATTAGTGTGGTGTCACCTGGGGTGGCCAATCAGATTCCAAGGGTGGCATGTGCCACCCCAGGCCACTCCCTGGACACGCCCCTGGCATGCGCGCCTCGTGCACGAGCCTACTATTGAAGCTGCTGTTATGCATTTGGCCTGAGGGGGCAATCACGAGCATAAAAATTCAAAAGTCCGAAAAGTCCCTCTGTGCTTCCTGGCAACGCCCACTTTCACAGCATTTTTCAAATCTCGACTAGGGTTGGAGTTACAATTTCTGATGGTGTGCAGTAACTCTTTAAACATGTTACGTATCAGTTTGGACTGTGTATTGAATTGCCCTACAATAATTAAAGTTAAAAAAAAAACGAGAGGCGTTGAAATACATTTTTGCTGCCTCTAGATGGTGCCATCGGACAAAAAAACTCCAGATTTCTGCTTTAAGATTTCATAACTAAAATAAATTGTTTCCCCAAACTTACTTGAGACAAACACCACTCACCAACTTTCTCTCACAGCTTCGATGTCGCTCACAAGGTTCTGAGCTAAACAGATGCCAAAAATCTAAAAGCAGAAAAGAACAAAAACACCTTAAAGCAAATATCTGAAAGAATGTATGGGAAAGCTGCTTTTGCACCTGCAATAATGCGATTCCAATAAAGATGCCGGCCACCACGGTTAGGTTATCCTGGAGCCACTTCTCAAACTGCGGGACACAGCCTTTGATGTAGATGAAGGTTCTCTGCTCAGAGTCCTAACAAAACAGTCACATGTCCAACTGGTATTACTATCAAACACACTCTGGGAGTTTTACTTCAAAAACAAGCAGCCTTGCTTAGTGAGAGTTATTTTAACAACTTTGTTTCCACCTTGTGGCCTCCTTCATAGTTAAATCCCTCTAAAGTTCCTCAGATGTTAACAAAAAGTCATCTCTGTTCTCCCATTCAGGCTCTGCAGCTCACATGTAAAGCCAAGAAAACAAACACAGCTTTTTTTCTTACATTTAGCTACCATGGAGAACCGCCAGAGCTAATGATAGGGGGAGGAGGCTTCACTTGCACTGCATTGCTACTGCATGAGTAATACCACACTTGCCAGCTTAGGCACTGAAGGAGACTCAGCTGCTGTTTTCTGGGGACTGAAGAAATGGGAAAAATCCTGAGAGAGGGATATTGTGAAAAGGGAGTGGCTGGTAACCTCATGCAGACATATTAAGCTAAGAAAAAGATCCAGAGCAGCTCTTTAGAGTCCCAAAACAGCACTTTTTTCACCTGCCGTCTCATTTGTTGTACCTTTATATTTGCAACTCACCGTTTTTGCCCGGATGTCGTATCCACACTGGGTGTTGATGACGTCCTCCTGCAGAAAGTCTCAGGTTTACATTTTTAACAACACAGTGCCACGATGCTGTAAATAAAAATGCAATTAGGAAGCCTATTTCTAGGATATTTATCGAGTTTTAGAACAACCATTAAAATATGGTTTATTAGTTTCCAACACTCACTCGTTTTTATAAAATGCCTTCTTAAAATAGCTAACTGTGTCATGAATGCAGCAGACGTTCCGCTTTCATAAAAAAAACAAGATTTGCGTGATTTAATAAAGTTAAAAACTAAGTTTCAACCATCGACATCTTCAGGCCTTTAGTCAAGGGAAGAAGAAGTGGAACCTTGTTCTTCCTCTAGCTCTGCTACTATGTATAGCTCCGTTATAAAACACACCCACAACCATTTACAAATGGCTTCCAAGCTTTTAAATAAAGCTGCCTTTTATTCCTTCACTTTTTTTTGTTGGAAGAGTGTAAAACGCAGATTCCTCTGCTTTTAAAATGAAAAATTTTAAGTGTAACCAGATCCAGTCATAAAAAGTACGCTTAAATAATCTTAATAGTTTAGATTTTATTATTGTTCAGAGTCTACCTACCTGTTACCTGCGTAGCCAGCACTTCCTTATGAATTACTTCATGCATGAATTACAACAGACCACGTGTGTTATTCAGCAGCTACTGTTTAATTCAGTGTGCTTCAGGGAAATCTTACAGGAACAAAATGTCCTCAAGTAAAAAAAAAAAAAAAGAATAAATACTCTTGGCAACTAGAAACTAGAATGACTTCCTACGGTAAAGCGCGGTCACGTTAGTGCACAATGAGCAGCTCTGAGGGAATTTTTCTGCCAACAAAAAAGAAAAGCAGCATTGCTCAAGGTCTCCACCCATCCGCTCTCACTCTGCTGCGCTGGCAGCAAAATCTGGGACGACTGACGCCTGGATGTCCTGTTGGACGGCAGCCATGACATTTGACATTGACATGAGGCTTTCTGGATAGCGCAGATAAAGCAGCGGTGTCACCGGGAAGAGTTTCCCAGCATCCTCTCAAACTGTTAAACAAGTTACAAACTCGCAGAAAAAGTTCGTTTTGACCATATTGGGAGTGAACAAGGAGACCTACCGCGGGATCTTTGGTGCAGCAGGAAAAGGGCACTCCACATTTCTCACGGCTCGGGTTTGAATCGGTGCAGTTAAAGTAGATGTTCAAGTTCCAGTCGTCAGCTCCAAAAGCTCCACAGCACTCCCACTAAAAGCGTGCATGTTAATATAGAGCGAAGAAATACACCAGAATAGGTGAAAACTATTTTAAAAAAAAAACATGGCACTCACATATTCCTGAGTGAAATCTATCAGGTTTTGCAGGTCAATATCATCCCTGTAGGCCCGAATGTTGTTGTTGATGAAGAATTTAAGCTGGTCCTTGATCCAGTCTTTGAAGACAAAGGCCAGGACTCCTGCAGTCAGCTCCAGAAAGAAGATGATTCCCAGGAACACGGAGAACTGAAAGGCAAAAACATCCAGGGTTTTGTTCAATTGGTACATCTTTATGAAGCAAAATCATTTTTAAAAAAAGGAGACTCGGTTGGGAACATACAAATTTAAGCAGGAACGAGTTCTCCCGTAGAGCTCCAATGCAGCCAGCAAAACCGAGGATGAACATCACACCACCCACAACGAGGAAAAGCCATACAGGATCGAAGCCCCCCAGGTCCGTGATGGACGAGATGTTGGAGAGAACACCCTGCATTGGGTGAGTTGATGCTTTAGATTTTATTCACAGTAGAGGTGGGCAATAGACCGAAAATGTATCAATACCAAAAATTTGTGTCTTTACTGACATTATTTAGCCTTTGTCAATATACTAGGTATTTTAAAAAAAATGAAAAGGTATGTAGGTTGCTGATGTTCTAATCCTTTAACCCTCCCACTGTCTTTATGGGCGACCTCGCGAGGAAAGTTGACCATTGAGCAGGGTTGAAGGTTTATCCCTTGAGGAGTGAGCACTACCTCACCCCTGCCACTTGGACCTCAAGGGATAAACCATCAATCCTGCTCAATGGTCAACTTTCCTCATGGGGTCACCAATAAAGACAGTGGGAGGGTTAAAAGGCCGAGCTACTGCTGGATGGGGTTGAGTCACGTGACCTTGTGTAGTCACATGACTCTAACCAATCTTGTCTGTAACAAGAATGGAAAGATGGTGAGAAAATGGAGGGTGATTCAAATGTTGGAGCAGTAGGCCATTTAGCAGGTAGTGGTCAGCGGAAGCCGGTAGGAGCGACCAAACCCCAAATTATGCCAAAGGGTTGTTGAATGATTTTTGTGGGAACAGGCTTTTTCTCGGCCAAATCTACCATTGCCGCCACTCCCTCCAGGTGCTGCTGTACTGGTAGTTATCATCCATTTATCTTTATTTAGGCGAAATGCTCGATAAGTTGTGATTTTGATTTGGGACCGTATCACCCAGCCCTACATTAAAACATAATTAAGCACATGAAATCAAGTAATTATCTGCAAAAACAAGCTCTTTTCACAAAACAATGCCGCCAGTTTGCCGCAAACATCGGAGCTGGCATCAGGGAGCCGTAGGCCATTTGTTAACGGTCAGAGCATGGCGGTAATGTGGCGTAATCATGTCCTTTATACAAGAGTACACAATGGCGGTATGAAGCAGGTATGGGGCAGTCTTTGCACTGCTGCAGACTTCCATTTAACTTGCTTTTTATTGCGATCGAGGCCGTGCTCATTAAGCGTTTTTGACAAGCGGCTCCTAAAGGTGTCTGTCCTCCACAGTCCCTGTGCAGTCTCTGGTGATCTGAGCTCCAGCTCAAACGGAGAGAAGCTCCTGGAGCTCTGCATCATTCCAGTTTATCATCTCAGTTGGTTCTGTTTACAAAAGCTAAACTTACTCCCCGTGTTTACTTAAATTTTCAATATAGTTGCCGGCCAGAGCTCTGCAGTAACTCCCATTGTGATCATTGCACCTCCCTCCGGTGTTGCAGCAATATTACTACCAAGTGTGGCGGCACATATGCCGCAAAATTCCCACAACGCCATGGTGCCACGGTGAGTTCATAAGACACACTGTGGCAGTAGCATTATGCTGATTTGCCAGCATGGCATGTCTTCTAAAAAAGCCCACAATATATGACTTAAGCCTTGTTCACACCAAATGCGGAATGGATGAAGTCTGTTTTCCGTACGGGTATCGGACGAATTGCCATTCACACAAACTGCGGTTTGTGTGCTGAATGTGTCTGGATATCTGCTCCCACAAGAGCTCGAGATGATTAGAAGTTTGACAAAACATGTTTAAAAACATACCTGCACAGCACCGCAGCTGATGTGATGAATGGACTCAAAGGGCCATTCCCATCTGTACTGGGTCGGCCCGGGCCGGGTAGCGTAGGTTGTTTACATATCTGGGTGGCCTGGTATTTTTCCGGGCCAACCAAGGCTCATTCTCAGCCCTCTTCTCGAGGGGGTCTGCTTCAGGCCGACCAGGGCCAACACACCCACTGCTGACAGCAAATTCACACCTTCCATTAGAGCAAGCATCTGATTGGTGGGTAGAATCAGCCCACATGGGCTTAAGACAAGGATGTGTGGAATCAACCGGGCCAGGCTGGGGCCGACTGGGGCTACCCGGCCCGGGCCGACCCGGTACAGATGGGAATGGCCCAAAAGACTTTTGGTCAATGCGAAAGCTGCTGGACCACATCCATTCAGTATCGGGTATGGTCAAGGCTTTATAGTAGTACACATTAGCTAAGTAAGTAGCTGTATTATTAAGGTTCAGTTTCTTTCTTTCCATTGCATTAAAAAAATGTAAACCAATTATTTAAAAGGTGCATTATTCTTGTAAGAGTTCTGAGGTAAGGCAGCATAGCAAAGATGGTAGAGTTTTACAGACAGGAGCAGTTTGGGACGCATATTTTGTAGAAGTGTGTTTTGGCCAGAATCTGGTGATACAATATATATATATATATATATTTGTATATATATATACAAATATATATATATATATTTGTATATATATATATATATATATATATATATATATATATATATTTGTATATATATACAAATATATATATATATATATTTGTATATATATATACAAATATATATATATATATATATATATTTGTATATATATATACAAATATATATATATATATATTTGTATATATATATATATATATATATATATATATATATATATATATATATATATATATATATATCACATAACAGGGGAGACAATTCGATATGTTGTGATAGTGAACGTCAGATGCTTCTAAGACACATCTGGTGTTATCGTGTGATCTTGATGTTCCGTCTGAAGGAAGGCGGTAAAAACTGCTGCCACCTAGCAGTCGGGGTTTGAATTGCAACACACAAAAGAAATACGGTAAATGTTTCCATCTAAATTGTATATATATATATATATATATATATATATATACAATTTATATATATATATATATAACAACAAAAACAATTTATTGCTTTGAAATATTGATTTAGTATATTAACATTCAATATCATTGGCTGCCAACTTCCCTCCATACAGGACCTGTACACCTCCGGTACATTGAGGCGTGAAGGTCGGAGAACAGCTGACCCATGTCACCCTAGACTGTCTTTATGACTCTCTCCCGTCTGGCAGGAGGCTGCAATCCATTCGGACCAGAACCTCTCGCCACAAGAACAGTTTCTTCCCCTCTGCTGTTGGACTCATGAATGATCCTAGGACTGCCCACTCCAGTCGCTTGGTTTCAGTCACATGACCCCGTGTTGTGTTTGTACCTGAACTGTTCTGCTCTGATCAGTACCTTTTATCTTTCTATTTGCACCCAGTAATTTCCTAATGCTGTGATTTCTCACACATATGGCAATAAAACCTGATTCTGAACTCAAAATATTGAAAAATTTCAGTGTATTGTAGTTTCTTACATTATTAATATTAAGCTTGTTTATTTATTAACTGAAAAATTATAAATCAACCATCCAAAAGATGAAATCCTTCTGAAACATGACCTGGATGATAGTCTAGAAGTTTATCAATTACCGTAAATTGTCAAATAATGAATAAAAAAATATGAGCAAATATCAAGGTTCTTAATGATTTGAATGGAAACAAGGAACATCTCAGAGGGCCTGCTGTGTTTCCCGGCATCATGATGAGTAAAGAGTATCAAACTCGCTCAGACTCACTTCAGCATTTAAGTGAGAAATGAAACGACCTGCTGATTGTGTGCAATGTCAGCGAGAAAAAAAGAGTCACCTATTTTGCTATCTCCCCCTCACAGAGATGTAACACCCACCTTTTCACTCCAAGCCCACAGCCCGATGCCAAGGAATGTCACTCCCAGGAACTGAGAAACAGAAGGCGAGAGACGATAAACATTTGGTGTTGACTGCAACGAGCCGCCATCACACAGAAGCACATGGAGACTTTCCTAGTGGTGGCGCGTAACTAAACATTTCTCATCTCAGTTTGCAGAATCAGCACCAGGCTCCCCCATTAGAAAGCAGATTCAAACAGCCTGAAAACACTGAAGGAATGTCTGCAGATGTTTTAATCTGGGTTGAATCAGGGTCCACCTGCTGTAAGGGACCAAAGAAATAAAAAAAATGTTAGCCAACATAAGAAAATGTGCAATCAGGGATGTAAATCAATTTCCCTCTGGGATTAATAAAGTATTTTTAAATTTGAATTGAACTGAAGAAAATATCTATATGGCAATATATTGTGATATTATTTCCTGTAATATTATATCGATATTCAAAAGCCATGTATCTAATTTTTGGAAGAATTTACATGTAAACATTTGTGTATTTTCTTTTCTTTTGGAACCCAACCTCTCTAGAATATTAGGAGTTACACAACGTTATGTTCTGTCTGCACTTGAAAATAGTAAACAAGATTTAAAGTTACTTTCCGGAGTTTTCCCCTTTCAGAAATAATCTATGATTTTTCAGAAATCCGTAAAAGTGATTGTCTTATCATGTACTGTGACATAATGTAAGTTTTTTTTTCTGCTAAGCACGCTCCCTGCCCCGCAGAGCTTCCTGCAATAGGGAGCCTAAGTCACGCCCACCTACTTCCGGACCACGGGTCCCCGGAAGAACGAAAAAATGAATGCAAGTCAATGGGGCTAAAAAGGCTATTTTCTAATTCTGCTTCTTTTGTGCCATGGATTTCACATATGATGTCAGTAAAATTTTAAAGACACATTTTGATACCAAGAACGCGCTTATTTTCGAACAGGGGGAAACGCTATTTTAGGTTTAGTGTGAAAATAAGTCCAGGACTACAAATGCACTTCATGAAAGTGACGTCATCGAACTAGACATGGAGAAAACTGAGGGAAAAGGGCTGTAAGTTCAGCAAGCTTCCCACAGGAGGAAAGAACCACCATAATCTGGTCATTTGGTAAGTAGCAGCTACTTTGGGGAGAGGAGATTATGTGGTGACGTTACATATGCGATGTGCCGATTTCTGTTGTGTAGTCGTGGTAATTTTGAACTTTTACAAGCTGATAAATCTCAAAGTACATGACTGGCGTGGTCGAAACATCCTATCGTTACTTTTCATTAAAACTGCAGTACAACATATACAGTGGTGTGAAAAACTATTTGCCCCCTTCCTGATTTCTTATTCTTTTGCATGTTTGTCACACAAAATGTTTCTGATCATCAAACACATTTAACCATTAGTCAAAGATAACACAAGTAAACACAAAATGTAGTTTTGAAATGATGGTTTTTATTATTAGGGAGAGAAAAAAATCACGTCCGGCAGCGCTCCTCTGTGGGAGCGGGGGTGGGGGTTAGTAGTGATGGGAATTCCGGCTCTTTTTAGAGAGCCGGTTCTTTTGGCTCAGCTCACCAAAAAGAGCCGGCTCTTTCGGCTCCCAAGTGGCTCCTCAGATTTTCTGTTGCGTAGAGTACATTTATAACCAAAATAATGCTAAACTATATGTAAATTAATTTACTAATGTAAAAAAAAGGCAATATATCAAATATTTATCATTTCTATGGATTTAATAACTGAACACTTTAAGAAATCTCCACTTTCTGACTGCTGGCGCTCATTTTCTCACTGTCTTCGTCGCACTCTCCTCCCTCTTACTCGCCTTTTTCCTCCTCCTCATTCCCTCTCGTCTCCCTCCTCCCACATGTGCTCTGCTGTGTGTCTGTCTGAGTATGATCCTCCCTCTTCCCCGCCCCCTACTGCTCTGTGTGTGGACAGTCTGGACACACAGTTACACACATGTTGACCAATCGCCTGTGGCTTTCACCGGGGCAGGGGGGAGGGGGGAGGGGAAGGGACGGCTCCCAATGACGAGCCGGCTCCCGTCGTTCACTTCAAAGAGCCGGCTCTTAGAGCCGGTTCGTTCGCGACCGACACATCACTAGGGGTTAGGGTGGTTGCACATGTTCCGCTGCTGGTTCTCACCAGTATCAGCTGATGGAGGGCTCTAATTTCGTTGCGCCGTTCGTGTCAGCGGACACGGTAGGGTCGGGGAGGGGGGCGGGGCACCCCGCCTCTTGGGCAAGCAAAGCCTGGTGGGCCGCCAGGCTTATAAGCGCTGGGGGAAACCCTGTGTGTGATAATCAGCCACTAGATGGTGCCATCGGATGAGAGAAATACTTCGAAAAGAGACTTTAACTAAACAACTAAATTGTTGTAATTTCACTAAAGCCAATCCCAGTTAGACCATGTATGTTTAACGCGACTCTACCCAACCTAGCTGTAGAGCAATACCCAAGTAGGCCTGGCTCAGGTGAGGTTTGTGAGACTTCTGGTCTTGTTTACATGAAACAGATAATTGAATTGCCCATCAATCAGGGCCAAATGAAAAAGACCAAAAGAACACTACCATGAACAACATTGCTTCTGGGGTCCTTGGAACGTATTAAGTGGTTATTCTCAAACGCTGACGCTAACTTGAGCTCTATCTGAAGCAGAGCGGCTGGGCCCACCCTTTGGGATAAAGTGAGGAGCTCAGACATAGGGCCAATCCCAATACTCACACTGCGCCCTATTCCCTTCTGGGAAGTGCACATAGAGGAGGAGCGCAGTAAGGCTTTGAGTGCGCAGTACACAAGTGTGCTGAATTGGGACAAAGAGCATTGCGTCATCGACCACAGCGCATGATGGGATGTCGATCACTGTTTGAGCTTTTTAACAACTTTCAAACAAATAACTATTTGACTAACTTTAAATTCATTGCTATTAACATTAAATCTTAGTTTAAAACATTCAGAGCTCGAATAAATATCATTAATTGTCTTAAAATGAACTTCTTTCATTTGAAAATGCGTATTTTCAGAGAAGGCACTTGAGCCTTTGCTCTGCCTTCTTCTCAAAAGTCACACGCAGCAATAAATTGTGGGTAATACCCATGCACAAAGTCTGCGTCCATGTAGACTTGGACAAAGTGCGGATCAAGGGTGCAAATAGGGCATAGTCACCTTCCGCACTTAGGTCGTGGGACGATCGTACCCCTGGCCAGGAACGAGCATTTAAAGGGGGCAACGGTGGAAGTGCGATTATTGGGATTGGGCCTTTGTCATGGAGGTTGAGATGGCATGGACACCAAGTAAGGGAACCTTCTGGGCACTGTCTTTGGAGAAGTTTCTCAGATAACTCCCACTAACCTTTAGGCAGAACAAGACTCAATGGAATGGTTATATTTCACAAATGGCTTGAGGATTCTTCTCTGTCATGTAAGATGAAAGAGGGAGAAAGATCTAGGGGTTTCTGATCCGACTATTGAACAAGCAAGCAACACGCATCAAAAGAAAGACGGTGTTTTTTATTTTGTATTTTAATAGATGACTTCTCTATGATCATCAGTGTCATTTTACACCAATGCAGGATAACTGAAAAGGGGCCTAGACTCTTGTTTATAGACAACTGGAACATTTCATTTCATTGAGATTAATGATCAATAAATAGAATATTTAATGTCAGCTAGCACCATTATTTCAAATATCCTTGTCTGATCACATAATAGATCAAAAATAAGCCCAATCCTTCTTGAGTGTGATCAGGGAAACAACACACCACCAGGGGGTGTTTACATCTCAGACTGGAGGCCCGCAGCCTTGTGTAGTTGAGCATCTGTGGGGTCCAGGCGCGACAACAGGAGGTGTTTGTTTTCCTCTGCAGCGGTTTCACGCCGCTGCTCACTGTAAAAAGCAACGAAGCCGTTCTGAGATCAGTTTTTCTGCTCAAACCTCACAAGGCTCCGAATAACGCAAAGCAGCGCGCTGGTGGGTGACAGCAGAGACCGCAAGTGCACACGCAGAGCCGAGAGCAGGCTGCACATGAAATGACACCCAAAAACAAAGAACGAACCCACATCCTGTGTCAAAAGTAACGATGCGAAGTCACACTGATCAGCGAACACACTCACCCAGAATATGATGTTAAAGCCGAATATGAAATACTTGATGCAGCAGCTCACTTCCTGAGCCTTGAAATGCTTTCCCGACATCATCTGGGCGGATTTTTGAGTTTAAACGAAATCCAAACGACGGAGAGGAATCACATCGACGCGTCTCTTATTTTCAAACAAAGTGGCAGTGGAAACACCCGCCGATGCTCTTTTTATGGCTCGACAGTCTCGCCATCAGCTGTTCTGTTCGGCATCCTTCTGCTTCGCGGCGGAGACGCGATCAGGCTGTCGGCTTCCTCCAAAACACACCAGCTTTCAGGATCAACAAAGATCTGACGGCGAGATAAATCCACCTAGGAGCTTCCAGCGGACCACAGCACAGACATGGCTGTTAGCTGGCTGACGTCTCAGCCAACCAATCAGAGCGTAGAGCGGTTCGATGGGGCGGGACTTCCTTTCTCCTTTCCCAAATGATCTTTTACATATTTTATAAACAAATTTACCAACTTTCTTACTAGTTTGAAAAACAATATCGACGAATATAGCAAAAAAAAAAAAAAGTATTAACCTTTATAAAACTAAAGCCAAACAGAAAACATATTAGGATGTTATTTTAAATCATATGAAAATTGTTATTATTATTATTATTATTATTAGTGGTACATTTGTTTCTTCATTTTCTTTTTAAATAAAACATACTACTGCTTTTTTTATAATGGTATTTCAGTTCATTTTGAAACATGTAATTAAATAGTTTGAAAGAAGACATAATTATCATCACCATCATCATGTCTCACCTCAAAATGTGCCGTAATTAATTAAACATGCAGTTTTTATTATGTGCTTCAAAAGTTTCTAAATTTACACAAAAATAACATAAAAAACTGCGAAATATTTTTTATGAATTCAATCACATATAATTTAAAAATATGGTATATTTTGCCCCCTGGTGCCCGCAAGTGTTACCTGCATCTTTATGTAGCTGAAAGTTTAAAAATCAGCAGCATTCTGCATTAATTATTGCATGACTGACTGACACACACACACACACACACACGCACACACACACGCACGCACACACACACACACACACACACACACAAACACACACATACACACACAATTATTGCTTACTATACTTGGTTTATTTATTCCATAAAATAAAATACCAAAATCAATCATTGTTACAAGTATTGTTTACACAACAGTATAACATGAAAATAAATATTTCTGTGCAACTTGTCTGTGAAATTCATGAGTCAAAACAAAATAATTCAATCTTAAGTTATAACTGTAATGAAACATCACAATGCAGAAGGCAGCATTGAAATCAATGTCCTGTTCACATTAACTCCTTCATGTCAGCTCACTTCTGAACCCTTCAACAATTTTTATTACATGACATAAATAGGACACTGATCTCAGGCCACTTGCATTGCATTTTAGGTTTTCATTGGATTTCTTCACATTGTAAATAATCCCTAAAGTTCCTCTTTTGTTTACATTTCAAACGTCTGGTTATACAAAAGGTGGTAGTAATGTAATGATATCTAAATAATTTCCTCATTAATGAGCTTTTTCATACAAAAATAGAAATACTTTTATGTTCAACAAAACAAACTTTCAAAATTTAGCAAAAATCTCTTAGTAAAATCAAATTCTTCATTTCACTCTTCATGATTGCTAAACGTATAATAGGCTTAAGATTCCAGAAGTCTTTGCACAATGAGTGGAAGCTAATAATACTTAAGGCAGGGATGTCCAAAATTTTCAGGATGAGGGCCAAAATCATGAAGTTAAAACTCCTCAGTCACGGGCCAGAAAAAATAATTTTTTTTTTTTAAGATTTCAAACATTTTATATTTTTCATTTGTTCTGCTCAAAAACATCTAAACTATTTATTCAGTGAAAATTGACCTTGAAATATTACAACATATGAATTTACATCAACAGCCTCCTGGAGAGACTTAACTCCACAATTCTAAAAACGCTAGTGAAGGCCACGCAAAATCCCTCCGAGGGCCGCACTTTGGACACACCTGGCTTAAGAGTATGAGGCTATTAATAACATGACAACCCAACATTTAGGATTTAAAAAAATATATTCAAGGTACTTGTCTGTTGGAGTTAGCAGTTAGTTTTAACTTACATCCCTTTTACACCTTTTTTTTTCACCCAGTGAACATCTTTACTTTGGATTTGGCTTCAGTTCAGAGGTGATGACAGCACATAAACCTAAAATGAAAAAATACTTAATATTATATATATATTTTTTGTTTATGCCTTTTGCACCATTAATGTTACTTTTATTCTTTTATTTAAAAAAATCTGTTTTTTCTTCTATATAATTTTTTAGTTTGAGAGCTGACCACTACCAAAGGTACCTTTTCACCCATAAATGTAGAATCAGCATTATTTACTTTGGAAAATAAATGCAAATTACTATATTATTTAACAGAATATGGCACATATTTCAAATAATATTTCTTTTAAGCCCTTTTCAACAGTCATAAAAGTAGCTGAACTTTCACTATGGGGACTGTTGGCACAGAGGACTAAGGCTTCGTGTGAATTACCTTCCTGTTCGGTGATATTTTATAAAACCAGGTTGTAAGTTCATTGTAACGAGGATCCCAGTCTCTCAAATCAGAGCCGTTTTGTTTCTGCGTGTGGTTTTAAATAGTCAGGCAGCACCTGGTACACCACTGTAAAGGCAACACAATTCTTCATACAAAGGATTTTGTCACAATCGTAAAAATAGTAAATCTATCTAGGAAAAACACACATAACTAATACTTTCACTCAGAGTCTCGTGGGGCGACGGTGGCAAAGGAGTTAAGTGCTCGCCCCGTAATCGGAAGGTTGCAGGTTCGAGCCCCGCTCAGTCTGTCGCTGTCGTTGTGTCCTTGGGCAAGACACTTAACCCACGTTGCCTGCTGGTGGTGGTCGGAGGGACCGGTGGCGCCAGTGCTCGGCAGCCTCGCCTCTGTCAGTGCGCCCCAGGGCAGCTGTGGCTACATTGTAGCTCATCCCCACCAGTGTGTGAATGTGTGTGTGAATGGGTGAATGACTGATTGTGTTGTAAAGCGCCTTGGGGGGTTCCAAGAACTCTAGAAGGCGCTATATCAAATACAGGCCATTTAAAGCCTGAGAATGAGTCCAACACTGTAAAGCTGTCTCTGCATTGATTTGTTGTTTAAAGGGTAAAACTCTGCATGTTTGAGTGACATCAGAGTATAAATTAAATAATAAAACCCTGTTTTGTCACCATTTAAAGATGAGTCCAGAGCAGAAAATGGTTCCGCCGGTCTGAGATGTGCTCCCAGACAAGCAGCTCTTAGGTGTCGAAGCTGTCAGACAAAGACGTCAGGCCCCATTAAGTAACCTTGATTGTTGACTTCTTGTGTTCGCAGAGCAGAGAAACATACGGTACACCAATGAAGGCCCACTTCTCGTTGGGCCAGAACATGATGACTGGGCCTCGCTCTGGAGCCTCAGTCGCAACATCAAAGTAGGCAAAGCAAACACAGCCCAGGTAGGAGGCTAGACAGATGAGGATGTGCCTGTGAGAGTAGGAGGAGTACCATCATCAATGACATGACATTATCCTCTCCAGCAATGGGTTTTTAACTAGCTTTGAGCTTACCAAGCACAGTGTAAGTAGGGGAAGTTAACGGACGACCACGTTTCACAGAATATCCTGTCGCTGATCCAGCAGAGCAGAGCCAGCGCCCACCAGATCCCTGAGATCAGCCCCAGCTTGAACACGCGGGAGTTTTCACATCTGCAATGACAGATTGAAGTACTGGTATGTAACATCACAACACAGACACACGCACGCACAGTTTTTGTCCTGCTATTTTGCATTTCATGTCTAATTTTTATCAGAATGTTTGAATTTTTGGACACCGTCGGAGAAGAAGAAGAAGACATCTTTTTTCAAAATAAGTCTAAATCTAAATAGTCCCAAGTTAATGCAAAATCAGTTTCAAACAAGCACTGTTCCTTAGTGGACACCATGTTTGTAGTTTTTCTCCATCACAGTTCTGGTGCTAAGCCCGCCCAGTGTCTCTCTACAAACAGAGTGCTGTGATTAAATAGGCGTAAACGTAGCTGAGCCATATCTACTGCTACAGTTTATGGTTTGGTTAGGCTAATGGCATCAAGGGTCTAGAAAATGAATAGTCTGGTTCAAAAAGTCACTCAGGAATTCATGCAGACCTCTATTTTATGAGTAGATGTATTGCAGAACTTTTTAAGTACAGCTGATCACAGCTGCAGTTTCTCGTTTATCCATGTACTGTCTGCTTATCTGAGGAGGTATCAGGTCCAGGAGGGCAACCCAGTCAACCCTATCCCCAGTGACACACTCCAGCTAAAGCTGCTGGTTCTAGCCTGGAAGGTTCTGCTTATTCTCCCAAGGGTTCTAAAGGGAGAAGAAGCAGTTAGTGGGATGGGTGGGATCCGCCACAATGCTCAGTGTTGTGCAGGCCAGGTGGGTTTGGTATCCTGGATCTTCTCAGCTGCTCTGTCTATGCGCTTCAGTCTTCCAACAGGATGCAGCTGCCGTACCACACAGTGATGCAGCAGACAGTTAAGTAAATCAACATCATTGCCTTTTGATTCAGCTCTACCATCACCCCAACAGACCAGAGTAACACTCCCGCTGTCACCCCATCCTGACTCCTGAAAAATGATGCTGAGATACTTGAACTCCTCAGCTTGAAACAGAGATTTCCTTTGAGAAAGCTGGAACTCAAACTTGGTTCTTAATGTCAAACTCCTTAAGTGTGCTGCTGCTGTTGCAGCATTATGAGAATGAGAGTGAAAGTTCTGTAACATGCTACATAAATAAACACACCCCTGACCTACAAAGATGTGCTAATCCAGAGTGCCACTGAAAAGCTATTCTTAGTGTTGTCGCCCTTAGAAATCCCAGTCACAGTCAAGGCAGGCACCGAGTGCCAAAACAGAGGGAGGCCGACTATAACAGAGCTGCTCTGATGATACACCGGCGTGCTTCACAGTGACAGAACGTCAGCTTCTCCTCACACACTGATTCTGATGATGTCACAAGCATGTGTTGTGCTTGTACTTAAAAAAAACAACACAGGACAAGTTTAAAGACTATACCACTAATGGTGCAAATGATGCTATTTTGATGACTCGACTTGTTGCTTTCTGTGTAAACAAGAAACTCAGGCTTTTTTAAGTGAGTATCTCTTAGACCAGCGATGGATGATTAATAAAAGAAAGATGACTACTGCAAACTCATAATGGTCCAAATAAATAAACCTGATAAATCTACAGTTTCAAAAGGGTAAAGCTGATGGTTTTGATGAGGATGTCTAATCCCTGGCCATTAAAAACTGCTCAGACATAGGCACCAAATGTGGAAAGAACCGTTTAAATTTCCTAACAATGTACAAATAACATTTTCTGGGAAGTGTTTGCATACTAGGACACCCGCTGGAAAAAGTTACAGAATGTAAATGTTTGTTTAAAGATGTTTTTACATTCTGTTAAAGGTGAAATAGGCAGTTTCGGCTTGCTTTAGCGCCCCCAAGTGTCTGTTTGTAGAATCGAAAGCAAAACTTTAAGTGAGAGTCTAGGCGTGAGTGGAGACTTCTTTCATCCACACTTCCTGTTAGGAAAACACTTCTGAAAGAGGTGTCGCCTGGCGGACAGAGAGAGTGGCACTGAGGCAGTGATATATGGCACGGTATGGGGGCCAAAATTAAGACTACTGCCCAGCAGCAGGAGGCTATATAAATTCCGAAGCAACCTACTGACCTGATTAATGATAAGCTGGCACGGTTAACTGAGAGGCTGGCGCTGCTTACTGAGAAATAGCACCTTTACCAGCGTTACTACTAGAAACGCGAGGGACTAGCAGCCCTCGGCTGGTCATTGACTGGATCACACACTCCCTCTGCTGTCTATTAGCATGGATAGGCAAGTGTTAGCCTGGACGGGCTGGTGTTAGCATTGAAGAGGCTAGCCTTTAGCATGCCTAGGCTGGCCACTAGCTGGATTTCCTACCCCCTCGACGGACCTTTAGCATGGATAGGCTGGCGTTAGCATCAGAGAGGCTAGCTATTAGCATGTCTTAGAGAGTCACTTTATGTTTTTTTGTACATATTATATAGTTTTAATAAAGATAACATCACAATTTTAATATTTATTAACCTGTAATTCAAAACAAAGGATTTAAAATCCAAAGATGAAGAGTACAAACTAGTTGGCTCTGGCTTTTTCTCTGATATGTGCAAGAAAACCAAACTATTTAAAAAGAAAACGCCATCAACCTGTAATTAAGAGCAGATTGGAGTTAACGCAGCACTCAACGCTAACAGGCTGTCAGCACAATATGCTTAAAGTTAATGTGTATAACAACGTGTTCTGTCAAAGGAACAACTGTGATTACAGGTCTCATAGTATGTCTTCTGTTTAATAAAAGTTTAAAAAATAATAATAAACGCATCTAATAAGAGTAAGTGACTCTCCGAGACATGCTAATGGCTAGCCTCTCCGATGCTAACGCCAGCCTATCCATGCTAAAGGTCCGTCGAGGGGGTAGGAAATCAAGCTAGTGGCCAGCCTAGGCACGCTAATGGCTAGCCTCTCCAATGCTAACACCAGCCCGTCCAGGCTAACGCTAGCCTCTCCATGCTATTAGACAGCAGAGGGAGTGTGTGATCCAGTCAATGACCAGCCGAGGGCTGCTAGTCCCTAGCGTATCTAGTAGTAACGCCGGTGAAGGTGCTATTTCTCAGTAAGCAGCGCCAGCCTCTCAAGTTACCGGCGCCAGCTTATCATTAATCAGATCGGTAGATTGCTTCAGAATTTATATAGCCTCCTGCTGCTGGGCAGTAGTCTTAATTTTGGCCCCCATACTGCACCACAGTGATAGACGTTGCCCCCACCCCCACCCCCACGTGCAACGTCGAAGTTTCTCAGTCTAAAAACGAGCTGTGCATGGCAGCCACATAGTAATTTGCTGACGTCACATTTTTCAGCTTAGCCATCAGCCACAGCTGATTCTAAATACATGTGGAGCCAAGTATTTTTCCTGAAGATGGAGATGTGCCGTACCCAAAAATTATTTCACCAGCCACCACTGACACCTATCATAAAAACCTGAGTAATAATTATTTTAAAAATATATGTTTTAGCTTTGCTAGCCGGCTAGAGTTGCACATTCACATACAAGAAGCGTTGCTTCCAGCTTTAATCATGGAAGTAGAGATGGGAGCTTAATGTGCAGTACACGTTTCTGCCACTAGATGGTACCCTCTGAGGGAAAAAAACTCCTGATTTCTGCTTTGATGCTAAAATGCTGGAAAAGAAATTAACTAAATAGTGAAGCTTTGATACCAAAATATTGTGCAGCAGCAAAATGCCTCAAAACGTTCAATATCGACACCCAAGTGCCACGTTAAACTCACTACATACCTAATTTCCTTTAAGGGAAATATGACAGCTGACTGGTTGCATAAGTGTTCCAGACAAACAGGAACTGGGACTCTGTATCTCATTAGCAACAGGAACTACCAAAATGAGAGGAAATAAGTCATTAAAACCTGAAATGAAGAGTGAGTACTTTGTTCCATCCTCCCAGAGGAAAAATCTTGAATGTGCATCAAAATGCTGGAGATAGAACGGCCAATCATTTCCCATCCTGAAGGTTCAGAGTTGTCTTTAAAGGTGTGAATTCCTTGTTTACTCAATGCATTTGCTGTGATCTCTAGTAGCAGTGATTGCCTTATAAGTCATACTCTGCGGAAAAAAAGCCCTGGTGCACCTATTTCTGGTACTAGAAGTGAGCCACATCACAGCTGAGATTCAAACGACAGGATTTGGAGTTTTATTTTCTGATATTTGGAAATCTCTCCTCTGATTGGATAACAGCAATGCCCAAACCACCTCAACTGACTCCTTTCGATCCGGAGGAGCAGCGGTTCTACTCCGAGTCCCTCCCGAATGTCCGAGCTCCTCACCCTATCTCTAAGGCTGAGCCCGGCCACCCTACGGAGGAAACTCATTTCAGCCGCTTGTATCCGCGATCTCGTTCTTTCGGTCATTACCCAAAGCTCATGACCATAGGTGAGGATTGGGACGCAGATCGACCGGTAAATTGATAGCCTGGCTTTCTGGCTCAGCTCCGTCTTCACCACGACAGATCGGCTAAGCGTCCGGCATCACTGCAGACGCTGAACCAATCCGCCTGTCGATCTCCCGATCCCTCCTACCCTCACTCGTGTGCAGGAGGAACATGAAGGGTCCGGTGCAGTGTGGATCGGGTGGCAGACCGAGGCGGGAGCCTTGGCGGTCCGATCCCCGGACAAGGATATTTTAACACATTTATTAAAACAAATACTAACCGATAACTCATTCTGGTCATTGATTTTATCACCAGTTTTATTATTACAGATGTTATTGAACATGTTACATGGACAAAAAATGAAAAGATGGTAAGGAGACAAGATTACTTATAATACGTTACAATTATTTACAGATCAAAACCAGTATGGACCAGTTTTGTACGGTTAAAGCAGGATTAACCTGAGTGACTCTTCCTGGATCATTTATTCAAACTGAGTGAGCAGGAAGTCTTTAACAGTGCAGCTGGATCTGCTGCAGGCCTGATCAGATGTGATCAGGAGCTAAACACACCAAAAACATTATTTCAGAATTAGCAGTTTGGGTCGATATTCAGCTAAAACTGAAATGTTGTGTAGAAATATTTTTGCCAATATTTATGAATATAATACTGCAAAATAT